CCCCAAAACCCCAAAACCCCAAAACCCCAAAACCCCATAGCGTCTAACTCTTATAGAAATACTTTTCATAATTCCTAATGTCGGTATATAATGGCTTCAGCACCAGGTTACAGGAGAGCACTTACAGCAAGACGCTTTACAACTTGCTTTTCCTTTTACAATTAAAGATCACTAAAGACTGCAATCAAACTCCGATAGAACAAAACTCGTTTAAGATTTATTTCAAATAAATTATTTCTAAAATTGTCCAAGATGGAAGAAAATAAGTTCTTACCTCCGAAGTTCAGCGTTGCTTGTGAAGATCTAGCTAAACTGTTCAAAGTAGAAGGGATCTGATCTAACATTTCAACAATGTCAAAGACAAGCTCTGATATCTCTCTTGGTAAGTCACCAAGCTTGGGAAATATATGTAATTAGTCTGTATAGTTTCTGTTCCAGGGATGAGAGATAACCAACCTTTGAGCCCTCATTCCCAGGTAGAACTTCAGACAATAAAAGAGAAACAAGAAAGTAAGTTTTCATGGGTCATACCTATAGGAAGGAGGAAATAAAGGTATTACTAGCTATGAATTGGAAGAATAATTCAGAAATTATTTATATGTGTTTTTCAAGTCTACCCTTCATCTAAAATAGTAATTAGGAAAGCCAGATGGAGTTTTTAAAGGCTTTAAATGTTATCACTTAGTCGGAAAGCTACTTTTATGGCTCATTAAAACCTCAATAATTCATGTTCTTGTGATAATTTTAATTTTTACAACTGATAACAAGAACTTTACAAGAAATATTATAGGTTTATATCCCAAAAATTAGCATTTTTACCCTTGAAAGCTGGAAATTTACAATTTCCTCCGAGAATTCTTAATATTTGTCTAGGTTTTACCAGTAAAAGTTCATCAAGAAGTAAAATTTTCCTCTAATTTTGCAGAAAACTCAATAATTTTCAGTCAGACAAAGCAGGGTTCCACAAAGTAAGCTTTGGTTTGACTTTTTAGGAAGCATTCATGTACCCCGATCCTGCCTGAGAGCTACACCACGTCACAGAGAGGTAAGGCTGGAGCCACTTTTTTCAGGCTTGGGAACAAACTCAGGTTATGTATAGACAAAAGTGAGAAATCTGGTGAAAAATGGCCTAGTTTTGACAAGAGGGCCAAAGCCGGACTCTCCAGTGGTCCTCGCAAGCGTATCTTTAAGGTAGTTAAGTCTCATGAGAGGACTGAAATAGCGGTTTCAGTGAAGAGATCGAAGAAATCTAATATCTTGTTCTATGATGAAGTGCAACCAGGCCATAATAAATCAAAGCAAAGTAAATAAATGGAGGCTTTTGGGGGGTTTAGAGAGGGCTAAAAAGTCTAATCGTGGTTTAGGAAAACTCCCACAAATTTAAAGGGCATAAGTCGCAAAATCCAAGTCCTGTATCACAGAGGTCTAACGTAATCTCCCCCTCTAAACTCCAGAACTTATCAAACTTCCCTCCCTCAAACTCAGGCAACCTCTCCACCGCACAGCACAAGAAGATCCTTGCTCACCTCTCCTCCAAGCACGGTTTCGACCTGTAAGTCCCAATTCTCCCCCTACCTAACCCCCTTAACCCCACCCCAAAATCCTTCCTAACCCCCAATTTCCTCCCCACACATCCTCTAGAAACCCCACTAAGAAATCACCACTAAAACGCAGCAGTAAGTCCCTCAGGTCACCTTATAGACCACAGGTGTAAATAGTGACAAGAAGACATCCCCCAGAGGGGTCTCCAAGCACCAAGAGAGTTTTTATAAGGGACTTCAGAGTAAATAGTCCTAGTGATAAGGTGAAGAAGTAAGATTGCCGAGTTATTGTAGGACTAATAATCTTCTACAAGATCAGGTGAAGTTAATGTCAATCAGTCACAAAAGAAATAGAACCAAATACTACATAAAGCAGAGAAGTAAGATGTCAACAGGCAGTTAAAAATAGCAATTCATAGGTAACATTCAATAGACAGAAAGCGAAGTGCCAATAACTAAAAGACTAAGCATAATATATATTTTACTAAAATCTACATTATTCAGCTACTCAATGGGACTTGAATAGGATTCATCTGTCTCTTCTACTTTAAGCATAATTTAACATTTCAGCATGGGAGTATAGAAGTGGGGTTTTGGGGTTTTGGGGTTTTGGGGTTTTGGGG